TCAAAAAGAAGAATGGTAAATCATATTTGGATATAAAAATCCTTAGAAATCTGCAAAAATACAAGAATTAGTGATATGTTGTACAGAATATATCATTTTATCACGTAGCATTCAATAATGGATCCAGATGAACTCTATAATATATTTGCAACTGATATACGTTCAAAAAAATTTTTTTTATAAAATAGTTTACATGTAAACTCTGTGTATGTATTGTAAACTGTATCTATTTTCAGAACCTTCATATTTTCAATTCAACTTTTGAATATTACATAAATATATTGAGAAATACAATACACCTTGAAATTTTGTAAGTATTAATTTAAAAAATAAGATAAGAATATAATTTTCTAGAATTTTTTGTACTTTTGTAACATAATCTTGAGAGAATCTGTCTATTTACAATTGGTTATAACTCAAAAACTATGAGCAGTAAAGAAGAATAGAAACCACAAATTTTTCAATTTATCGTCAAGATAAGTCCCATGCAGTAATGTATCCTATCCACACTTTCTAAGCATCATCAAATATATACTAACTTCATAGCCTTTCGATGCATATCTATGGCATAAATTATCATCTTGTAAGTTGAATATTCATTTTGCATGTTACTTATTTTTATTGTGTTCATCTTCAGTGCCTGATTCATACGATAACTGCAAATAATTCAAATATTGTAATTATGCAGTAATCCAATCGTGACTTACAACGTATATCTGTACAGCAATTTTTAAATAAATTCTCATTCTCTGAAGTAGAGAAATTATAGTATTATCAAATCGACTTGTAATATGACGAAATTAATCCTACTTATGACTCAGATCTTAATAGTTGCCCCGTAAATGTTCTCACCTAGCAATTTTAAGCATTCCACATAAATATTGCAAGTATACTATGATAATAGTTCCTGTCGCTACTACTGTAGTCCCACCAATACAAAAGCCTGCGTTTATATGCAGCCAAATCAGATAGAAAAATTTTTCTTGATTGAGAAAGTATTCTGTCCTAATTTGCAATAGGGAATGTGAATGAGATTCGTTTGCAGACCATACAACGTTGAAAATTCGTGGCAAAAATGGAAGAAACATGAAAACAAATATGTCGCACATGCTGAGCACTAAAATTTTGAAAAAATTATGTAAAAATGACTTGCAGCGTATACTGTTTTTAATAACAATTCCAAAGTGGCCTACGTAGTATTCTAAATTTCTTGGAGTAAAACCTCATTGAAAACACATGAAAAGTGACAGAATTTGCACTCGAATCAATAGTGAAATCACTCCTACTTAAAACCAGAAGAGTGAACGTTTTACTGAAAGTGGATTTTGACTTTATATGAGCAAATACTTCAATCGATTTGAGTAAATATGTACGGTGGAACACAGTCACTTTTCAATCTTGAGTGAAAATATTCATTCAACAATTTAGTGCGCAGAATTCACTCTATAAAAGTAAATAACTCGAATTCGAATGACTGTACTGTCATTCTATTTTTTGAGTGAAATTTCAGTCCAAGATATTTAGAAAGTAAGCTAAAAGATGTGGAATTTCTTACATGTGAGTACGTAGGTGTAACGTTTTGCGATGGTTCCGTATTTTTGTATAATAGCGACTTCGCTCTCGTCTTTCAGCTCGTCGTAAGTATGCTGAATTATTTCCAATAAATTTCTAACCTGTTGTTGTAGCAATTTGTTATATTTTTATAAAGTTCGACAAAGACTATTGTTTAAGGAGGATTGCTGTATGCAACGCTCCCGAACGCGAGTTAAAATTTGTGAACTGTTTACTTACAGTATCTGTTTGAAAACTAAACGCGCTGTATTTTATCGCGAATGCAACGAAGAAAAATACTACAGAAAAGATTTCCATGATTAACTGTGGCGTACATCGCGATGTCGCAAATGTTGCGAGCTACAAAAGTGATATCGTTAAGGCGTTCACATCGCGAAAATGATTTCTATATCTTTGTGACATATAGATTAATATCACACATTAATTATTGACTATTTCTTTATGTATAAACAGTAAGACAGATACATAAATATAAAATTGTTTGTTATAATTTTATTAAAACATTACAATAAAGCAATGATTTCTCAATTATTGTTATAAGTTACTTTGATGTAAGATGTAATTATACTTAAATATATTTGTGTTATAATAATTGTTACAAACAACAAAAATAGCATCTTATTAGTTACAGAGCAATTCCAAGAATTACATAAACATCCAAAGGACTAAACGTACCTGACATGCAATAGAAGTTAGCAAGATACTGTAGAAAAAAATGAATTGGAGACGAACAAATATAGATTGCTCGAAAGGCCATAAGCCAACTGAGAGCAAGAGAATTCGATTGAGTTCGAGTTGTAGCGACTTCACACAGATCATGTCTGCCCGAGTGTCGAGTCACGTTTGACCGCGAAGAAGTAGCCAAGGCTCCGTTCATCCCCTCTTTTTTACCTCTTATATACTATCGATTTATCATTTTGTAATTTGTTCTCTTTGGGGAAACATTTCGCGTAAAATTAACGCGAAGCGGTGGTGAACGTACCTGTATATATGAATATACGTAATTTACCAATTTACTCCTCCCGGAAGGGGTGCGCGATTAGCGATCGATTTGACTTTCTCGGCTGTCCGTTTCTCATGGAAAAAAATATTTTACTTAGCTAGAATTCTTGGCGAGGAGATACGCAGGCGTACCAGTCATTGACAATCCGACAATAAGTTCCGTATCTCTCTTCATTCTGCCCTTTGTACTCGACGGTAAATTACATTCGATCCTATGGTGGAGCGCCAAACCTCCTGCCTTATAAACCGACATACTTTAAAATACACAACATCGTCTTTTACGGTAAACATCTTTATTTTTATTCTACTTTTTATTTTACCAGCAAAGTTTCCTATCACTAAATACCATTTTATTTTAAGCAACTAGCATATTTCATAGATTCAATCTTAACAAACGCAGAGTTATGTTGGAATTATTATGACCTAACGTGATTTTAACTTATATTTAAAAATATAAGATAGATTATCTAATTATATTTAAGGACAGTGCTAGATATATTTTGTAATGTTCATGTAATATTAGGAGAAATATATAAGTGATAAAACATCGAGGGTTGATAAAACTTCAATTATTAATTATTGTTGGATCTCATTTAATCATGCACTAACTAAATCGAAGTATTTTATCACTTCAAATCTATAATATATATTGCAGTAATATTATTACATACGTTTTACAGCATCATTTTATAGATTTGTAGATTTTATTGTCTCATGGAATAAATAACTGTGAAGTAAGATATCGATGTACTCACCGTCTGTAATGAAGAGAATGGCTTCTTGTAAAATATATCAAATTGCATTCTGTGTCGTAAAATTATTACCAGGGCCAAGTTCTCCAGAGATCCTATGAGTAGCCCGACGATATTCCTGTTGAAAGATTTAGTGCCTTTTTGGAGCAAAAATAATATTGTTCTCTGTACATGTAAGGGAGCTGTATACCGTTGAACGTTGTACCTACGAAAGGACAACTGAGCCTGATCGACTATTTTGGAAGTCAAGATTCTGAAATAATTTTTAACATCTGCATGTACACACACGCAGATGTAATAACGTTTCTTAAACAATAACGAACAAGAAATCGTTGTGGTCCTCAACTTGTTGCGCGGTATAGTTGGCAAGAAACATCAATGTATAGTTAACAATAAAAAACAAAGTAGGCGTTATAAATTCTTCAATATTCATCCCGGATGACAAACCGATCGAAAACCTGAAATATAAGCATGACAATACGATTAATTTTCTTCCAATTCAATCCAAATCTGACGTGTCTTTGTATGTAGAGGTGTATATGAGTATATATAGGTGTATATGTAGGTGTTGTATATAGATTATATATAGTGTTGTTTTGCGTTTTGTTTACCGTCGGGTTACGTGCATTTAGTCTGCCACCATAACGTGAGATGAAATCTTAAATTATTGTTTTGTAATTTATTCTGTTTGGCGAAACATTTCACAATAAAATTAATGGGAAGCGGCGATAAACGGATGCATATATGAAAATGAGCAATTTACCAATTTACCAGAAGGGGTGCGCGATTATCGATGGATTTGAGATTAAGAAAACATTCACGGTTGTTCATTTCTCATAGAAAGAAATATTTAGCTAGAATTTTTGGCGAGGATATGCGCAGGCGTACCAGTCACTTTCTGACAATAAATTCCATATCTTTCTTCATTCTGTCCTTCGTACTCGACTGTACATCGGATGAAATGTCCTGGTGGAACGTCAGACTTTCTGCCTTAGAAGCCGACACACCAGATATCGAATTATATAGCAAAAAAAGCCTATTAAGAGATATTGTGTGTTCATGCGTATATTTTCTGCATGATTATCGATACGCGTTTAGACACGGACCACCAATCTCTTCTTTTCGTGTACCTAATTGTTTTACAAAATCTCTCTTCTGATGTATATTTCATAATAAATCTCCTAATTAGAACTTAATTTAGTAATAATTTAATGATATCTTTAATAACGCGAAATAACGAAAAATATCACAACGGATCATCAAAATATATCAAAATATATCAAAATATATCAATGGGATCGAATATTCGCGATTTGAGAATTTTCAACAAAAAAATAAGTTACTATTAAATGAACGATTGACTTTGCACCGGTTGCAATTTGTCAGATGCGTTTTCTTATAGAAAAAGTGACATGCTCGAGGAGCTTTTCTGTCTTAAACTTGTGCAATCGCAGTGTTACCACTTATTAGAGTCCACGTGGGATCGCCGATTTTCCTTGTTCGAGTAAACAATTCATTAACATTCGAATTATTGTTCAAATTCGATTATTTGCGTAACATCACTTCTTGTAAAAATAGATTTGCTTTTTAGACAATATAACAAATATGTGCGACATGCATATTATTTCGCATCGGGAAATAATCAAATATTAATTTCGTAAGCGCTATTGAGAACATAATGAATTTTTATTGTTGAGTTTGCTTATCATTTAATTATGCAACAACTACATACAAACAGAAAACTTTCCACTAACTTTGTTCTCCTCCAAATTTATGTGGCCTCGCTTTCATAAATTTTTATATCATTATCCTGTAGAATATATAACTGTGAAGTAAGATATTGATGTGCTCATCAGCTGGAACGAAAAACATTTTCCTGTAATGTTGAAAATATATTACACTGAAAGGAGTCCTGATACGCAATAGAGTTCGTACCGTGCTAAAACCTTCCAGAGATGCCACAAACACTCCACCGATAGTCACGTAAAAGGACTTTGTGCCTCTTTGCAAGAGAAATAATATTATTTTCTGGATACGTAATGGTGCAGCGTACCACTGAGTGTTATACCTGCAAACAATGACTTATTATACACTTCATCATTTTAATTTGAGTCAAGACTTGAAAATAATCCTTGACATATACGTGCGTCATTTATTTTACGAAATGTTTTCTTTTGCTCTCCTCATATTAATATCTTTTTCAGTTTCTTAATATTACACATCTTGCGTTGTAAAATTCCTTTCATATATGTCGATAAAATATAAGTATGTTGCTTACACAGTAGCGAACAAGTGTTCATTGTGATTTATAACATCTTGCCCCATATTGTTGGAGATGAACATATATATGTATAAAGTATTTAAAAATATAAAGGGCGTCATTAGCTTCATATAATCGCATTCAGTTGTCAATTCACGAAAAATCTGAAACACGAATGCATCGTGTTTAATTTCTCACGTTCTCATCATGATTTTAATTTTGTGTACCGCCTCATGTCTTGTAAAGTTAATTTGATTTAATTAATTGGCATACTCTTTCGGTACGAAGAATAATTATTGTCACCTTCCGCCAAGCTTTGGTTGTATCCGAGGAGTGTCTATATTTAGACATTGCCGAGTACGGGTCGTTAAATACACACGAATATTTTTTGGCGCACTTATGCGCTACTGAACGTTCTGCTATGTCCAATCATGAACGCTTCACGGCTGGATTCTGCCGTACCGAAAGTGTTAATTTTCATATACGTACTCGATAAAGATTAAGACTTGTGGCAACTGTTCCGAACAGTATTAAAAAGAAGAATGTTAACTCATGTTTGAACATAAAAATCCTTAGAAATCTGTAAAAATACAAAAAAGAATTAGTGAATTAGAATATATTATACAGGATGTATCATTTTATCACGTAACATTCAATAACGGATCTAGATGAACTCTATAATATATTTGCAATATAATATATTTGATATACGTTCAAAAAAATTTCTTTTATAAAATAGTTTATATATAACCTCTGTGTATGTATTGTAAACTGTATCTATTTTCAGAACCTTCATATCTTTAATCCAACTTTTCAATACTGTATAAATATATTGAGAAATACAATAAACCTTAAAATTTTGTAATTATCCATTTACAAAATTAGATAAAAATATAATTTTCTAAAATTTTTTGTACACTTATAATCTTGAGAGAATCTGTCTATTTACTATTACTATTTAATTGGTTACAACTCTAAAACTATGAGCAGTAAAGAAGAATAGAAACCACAAATTTTTTCAATTTATCGTCAAGATAAGTCCTATGCAGTAATATATCCTAGACACACTTTCTATGCATCATCAAATATATACTAACTTCATAGCCTTTCGATGCATATCTATGGCATAAATTATCATCTTGTAAGCTGAATATTCATTTTGCATGTTATTTATTTTTATTGTGTTGATCTTCAGTGCCTGATTCATACGATAACTGCAAATAATTCAAATGTTGTAATTATACAGTAATCCAATCGTGACTTACAATGTATATCTGTTTAGCAATTGTTAAATGAATTCTCATCCTCTGAAGTAGAGAAATTATAGTATTATCAAATCGACTTGTGATATGACGAAATTAATCCTATCTATGACTCAGATTTTAATAATTGCCACGTGAATGTTCTCACCTGGCAATTTTAAGCATTCCACATACATATTGCAAGTACACTATGATAATAGTTCCTGTCGCTACTATTGCAGTCCCTCCAATACAAAAGACTGCGTTTGTATGCAGCAAAATCAAATAGAAATATTTTTCTTGATTACAAAAGTACTCTGCCCTTATTTGCAATAGGGAATATGAATGAGATTCGTTTGCAGACCATACGACGTTGAAAATTCGCGGCCAAAATGGAAGAAACATGAAAAGAAATATCCCGAACATGCTGACCACTAAAGGTTTGAAGAAATTGTGTAAAAATGACTTACAGCGTATACTGTTTTTAATAACAATTCCAAAGTGGCCTACGTAGTACTCTAAATTTCTTGGAGTAAAATCTCATTGAAAACACATGAAAAGTGAAAGAATTTGCACTCGAATCAATAGTGAAATCACTCCTACTTAAAACCAGAAGAGTAAACGTTTTACTAAAAGTGGATTCTGACTTTATATGAGCAAGTACTTCAATCGATTTGAGTAAATATATACGGTGGAACACAGTCACTTTTCAATCTTGAGTGAAAATATTCATTTAACAATTTAGGGCGCAGAATTCACTCTATAAAAGTAAATAACTCGAATTCGAATGACTGTACTGTCATTCTACTTTTTGAGTAAAATTTCAGTCCAAGATATTTAGAAAGTAAACTAATAGCGGTGAAACCTCTTACACGTGAGTACGTAGGTATAACGTTTCGCGATGGTTCCATACTTTTCTATAATAGCGACTTCGCTCTCGTCTTTCAGTTCGTTGTAAGTATGCTGAATTATTTCCAATAAATTCCTAACCTGTTGTTGCAGCGATTTGTTATATTTTCATAAAGTTCGACAAAAACTGTTATTTAAGGAGGATTGCTGTATGCAACGCTCCCGAACGCGAGTGTGGAAATCTGTAAACTGTTTACTTACAGTATCTGTTAGAAAACTGAACGCGCTATATTTTATCGTGAATATAACGAAGAAAAATACTACGGAAAAGACTTCGATGATGAGCTGTGGCGTGTATTGCGATGTCACAAGTGTTGCGAGCTAAAATGTTAAAGCATTCACATCGCGAAAATGATTTTTATATTTTTATAACAAGTAAATTAATCTCACACATTAATTATTAACTGTTTTTTATGTATAATAATAGAAAGACAGATAGATAGTATAAAATTGTTTGTTATAATTACATTAAAACATTAAAATTACAATAAAACTATGATTTCTCAATTATTGTTATAAGTTACTTTGATGTAAGATGTAATTATACTTAAATGTATTTGTATTCCAATAATTGTTACAAACAACAAAGATAACATAGATCTTATTAGTTATAGAACAATTCCAAGAATTACATAAACGTCCAAAGGACTAAACGTACCTGACATGCAATAGAAGTTAGCAAGATACTGTAGAAAAAAATGAATTGGAGACGAACAAATATAGATTGCTCGAAAGGCCATAAGCCAACTGAGAGCAAGAGAACTCGATTGAGTTCGAGTTGTAGCGACTTCACACAGATCATGTCTGCCCGAGTGTCGAGTTACGTTTGACCGCGAAGAAGTAGCCAAGGCTCCGTTCATCCCCCCTTTTTTACCTCTTATATACTATCGATTTATCATTTTGTAACTTGTCCTCTTTGGGGAAACATTTCGCGTAAAATTAACGCGAAGCGGTGGTGAACGTACGTGTATATATGAATATACGTAATTTACCAATTTACTCCTCCCGGAAGGGGTGCGCGATTAGCGATCGATTTGACTTTCTCGGCTGTTCGTCTCTCATGGAAAAAAATATTTTACTTAGCTAGAATTCTTGGCGAGAAGATACGCAGGCGTACCAGTCATTATCCGACAATAAGTATCCGTATCTTTCTTCATTCTACCCTTCGTACTCGACGGTAAATTACATTCGATCCTATGGTGGAGCGCCAGACCTCCTGTCTTATAAACCGACATACTTTAAAATACACAACATCGTCTTTTACGGTAAACATCTTTATTTTTATTCTACTTTTTATTTTACTAGCAAAGTTTCCTATCACTAAATACCATTTTATTTTAAACAACTGGTATATTTCATAGACTCAATCTTAACAAACGCAGTGTAATGTTGGAATTATTATGACCTAACGTGTTTATTATTTATATTTAAAGATATAAGATAGATTATCTAATTATATTTAAGGATAGTGCTATTTCGTAATGTTCAATTCATGTAATATTAGGAGAAATATAGAAGTGATAAATCTTTGGGGGTTGATGAAATCTCGATTATTATTGTTGGATCTCATTTAATCATGGACTAACTAAATCGAAGTGTTTTATCACTTCGAATCTTTAATATATATTGCAGTAATATTATTATACACGTTTTACAGCATCAATTTATAGATTTGTACTTTATTGTCTCATGGAATAAATAACTGTGAAGTAAGATATCGATGTACTCGCCATCTGTAATGAAGAGGACGGCTTCTTTTGAGTTGCACAATATATCAAATTGCTTTCTGTGTCGTAAAATGTTTACCATGGCGAAGTTCTCCAGAGATCCCATAAGCAGCCCAACAATATTCATGTTGAAAGTTTTAGTGCCTTTTTGGAGCAAAAATAATATTGTTCTCTGTACGTATAAGGGAGCTGTATACCATTGAACGTTGTACCTACGAAAGAATAACTGAGCCTGATCGACTATTTTCGGAAGTCAAGATTCTGAAATAACTTTTAACATCTGCATGTACACACACGCAGATGTAATAACGTTTCTTACACAGTAACAAACAAGAAATCGTTGTGGTCCTTAACTTGTTGCGCGGTATAGTTGGCTAAAAACATCAATATATAGGCAACAGTTAAAAACATAGTAGACGTTATTAATTTTTCAATATTCATCCCGGATGTTAATTCGTCGAAAACCTGAGATACAAGCATGACAGTACGATTAATTTTCTTCCAATCCAATCCAGATCTGTCGTGTCTCTGTATGTAGAGATGTATATAATGTTGTATATAAATTATAGTATTGTTTTGCGTTTTGTTTAACGTCGGTTTACGTGCATTTATTCTGCCACCATAACGTGAGATAAAATCTTAAATTATTGTTTCTAATAAATCTACACAATATTTTCATAATTTTACATTATCTCTTCTCTGCCCCTTTCTATCTATAGAGCGGATTCATAAGAATATCTTTTAACGTCATCAAATAAATAAAACTGTCACCTTGCGCGCGCGCACGCACGCTCATACACACACATACACACATATATAGAATTCACGTGATAGTCAACGTGGTTCAGTAGCGAAAGACAATACTTACTCGATAAAGATTGAGGCTTAAGGTTATCACTGTGCTGGACATAAGAAAGAAGTAGAAAATCTCGATTTTAGATAAGAAATGCTTTACAAACCTTTAAAAATGAGAAGGTATTATTACTATTTTTCAAATTACATCCGTGTAAGATATATAACTGTGTGATTATTCACTTCGGGGATGGATACCAACGTCAAAGCTTTGCGATGCATATCTATGGCGCAAATAATCCTTCCGTACATCAAGTTTGCCTGTACATCCTTACTTATATTGCTTATTTTTAAAGTTTTGTCCTTTATGATCTGCTCCACACGGTAACTGCAAACAACTAGCTTTGCTGTAATTATACAATAATTCAGTCACGTTGCGAAGGATTTTATGTCTCAAATGTTGAAGTAAAAGTCTCGCGGTTTGGTTCGAGACGATTCGATTGTTCTTACGATTTCACGAGCAAAATTATTTTCTCACCAGGCGACTTGAAACATCCCGCAAGCATATTGCCAATACGTAATGGTCATCGTTCCTGTCGCCAGTAACGCCAGTAAGCCTATACAAAATGCTATGTTTATATGCAGTAGAATCAAGTAGAAGTACTTTTCTTGACTGACGAAGTACTCCGTAGTGATCTGCAGCGAGACATGCGATCGAGATTCGTTCATAGGCAACACGGTCCTACCGAGAAATATCGGCCAAAATGGGAGAAGCACAATGGGTGAAACTCCGCATATAGAAAGTACTGAAGGATAATTTAAGAAAGATATTATAAAACCATAACTTCTTTTAAGACCTTGAGTAGAAATCCCATAGTCCTGATCGAGTTGAATCGAAATATTTAACAGAAGATCAACGATAATAACGGGGAATATTTGAACGGAGGATGATTGAGCTCTTTTTGTTTATTTTCCAATAAAGATTGAATTTTGCCAAAAAAAAGCTAAAAACTTTCTACTGTCACTAGTATAAACCAGACAATTGATTGGGATCAACCTAATCAGGACTATACGATAAATTTCTAGTTGGGATACGCTGATATTCTCAATATAAAGATAACGAGTGATTGTCTTACGCATAAGCACGTAGGTATAACGTCTTGCCTTAGTTCCATATTTTCTTAAAATCGCGACTTCGTCATTGTCCCTCAGCTCGCAATAGATATGCTGGAGATCCTCCAGTAGATACTTCACCTGCCGTTTCAATGATTTTTTATGCCGTTTGTCTTGACGAGATTTGACAAAGTCTGTCGTATAACGAACAGTGCTTTACACGCGAGTTGTGTTTCCCGAGCAAAAGTGAAAATCTGCGCAAATCCGTGCTTACTCACGGTGTCCATGTTAAAGCTGAATGTGTTGTACTTGATCATGAGAGTAATGAAAAAGAATACTGCGGAGAGAACCTCGATGACGAACTGCGAATTACATTCCGTAGTCACGAACGTTGTAAACTGTGGTGAAAAAGAGATTTCGCGTCAGAAAAATAAGTTGCGGTTCTTTGGATCATGGTATCTTTGGAACATATATCTAGGTTTTCTCCTCTACTATCGAAATGATTCTCACGCAATCATATCTAAACGTGCGCATGCTTGAACAAACGATCGTTACGAGCAACAATGTACAACAGTTTACTAATTATGCAATTAATATCTGGGAAAATTGACATACCTGAAATATAATACAGGTCACTAAGATGCCGTAGAACAAAATCACTTGCGCTCGAGTGAATTTGGATTGCTTATATGGCCACAGTCCGACTGCCAACAAGAGAACCCGATTGAGATCGAGTTGCAGCGACTTCACGCAGACCATCTCTTCTCGAGTACCGGGATGCGTCTGATCGCCAGGAGTTCACCGAGGCTTCGTTCATCCCCTCTTTTCCACCGATCGATACAACATTCTTTTTACCGTAATTTTACCGCAATTTCCACAATTTTACTATAGAATTGCATTGAGAAAGTGCCACACAGTGAGGTGCCCGAATATTTGCAATTTAATAATTTTCTCTCTCGAAAGAGCTCTATTCTTTACAAATCACCGGAGCAGTTTCGCATTGAAAAAAATACAACCGGTGCTTATTTCCCGCGAAAACAAAAAATACCTGCGGCTGTAATAAAAGTGCCGCGTATTTATCGAGTATTTGTCGTTTTTCAGAGCTGCGATCACTTTAACGCCTACAGGCACACGTTACATTTCTCTCCTAAGAGGAAACATCCCTCGCTAAGTACTATTTACATAGCACCAAAGTCAATTTTGTTATTACTAAAATATTGCTGTAATAAATTAATTTTTTTACGTGAAAATAATATTGAATAATTATTCAGAATAATTATTTCAGGAGCGTCTAAATAACTATTCAATATTATAGTAATTTTCTCTATTGAAAAATAGGATGTTAACGCTACTAAAATGTTAGCTTAAGATGATAAGATAATTATACTTTAATAGATATTGAAATAATATTAATTTGATCACACAATACGACTCTAACCTTATATTAATGTTCATATTTAAGGTCGATTAAATTATTCTACGATGCACTTTTTTGTGTAAGTAAGTGGGAAATCCACCGTTGCTTTATCACTAATTGCAATTCTAACAGCTTTATCTCTGCGTAGAATACAAAACGGTGAAGTAGGATATCGACGTGTTCGCCAACTGCAAAAGAGATCTCGTTCGAGACGCGCGCGACTTGATGTCCTATTCTGGACGCATAGTACACATTAAGTCCTTCTAATTTTAAGGTTTGATTTTTTGTACGAACGTCGTATCAGCTTGAGTATAAAAAATAATATATTTAGCATTCGATACGCTTCAAATCTAAATGTGTTATTTTTACACTCATAAACGTGTAATTTGGTTAAAACTCTTTCTGCATGTTTCTTACAGTTTTAAATCATTAATATCATTTAATATGTTTGAGACATGTAAATTATAATTTAATACGTTCAAATGACGTGTTAAATGACGTGACTTACAAGTAAATCTAAAAGGTACATACCCAAAAGGTACATTCCGATCTTGACACAAATGTAGAAGTACAAAAAATATTTAGGTCATATTTTTTCATTTTGGCTTACCTTGAGCTTCACGGGCAGTTTATGGCTTTTTAATTTTCTCACTCTTATCATCAACAAGTGTAACAAAAATATATAAGAAATAAAATTGAATACAAGATATAATTAAATAATTTTAACAAAATCGGCATAGTTGAGACATAAACCATTCTAAATTTCTCTAGCCGAGATTCCAACCGAAATATTTTAAATCTGTGCTAAATTAATAGAAAATGGTCCGAATCTTGGCCAAATCGAGAAATTATTTGTATAAATAATTTTTTTCAACTTTTCATATGTTTTGTTTAATCATTTTATTATTTATACAAATAATTTTTCACATTTGACCTTATATTCATAATCAGCAAACCAAAAACACCTATATCTTATATTCAGTTTTATTTCTTACTAGAACAATATATGCGCGCGCTACGCGCGCGCCATATAGTTAATAAAAAACGTAAAATAAAAATAAAATAAAAATTAAATTAAATTAAAATTTATTTTAATTAATTAATAATTATAGGGAGAGACAGGGAGAGACGGAGAGAGACGGGGAGAGACGGGGAGAGACGAGGAGAGACGCGGAGAAATGGGGAGAGGCAGGGAGGGACAGGGAAAGACAGGGAAAGAGGGAGAGACAAGGAAAGATAGAGTGATACGGGGAAGGACGGGGAGAGACAGGGAAAGACAGGGAGAGACAAGGAGAGAGACAGTGAGAGATAGGGAAAGACAGAGAGAGAGACAGGGAGAGACAGAGAAAGACAGGGAAAGACAGGGAGAGACAGGGAGAGGCAGGAAGAGGCAGGAGAGGCAGGAGAGACAGGAAGAGACACAAAGCAAGCCGCAGCCCACATGAAATGAGCTAAGCGAGAAAACCAATCAGTATCGCGGAAAAGCGGCAACAATTAAATCTGTTACATGCCTTTTTTTAGAGAACATACATTTTTGTTGCACTTGTTGATGATAGGAGTGAGAATATTAAAAAGCTATCAACTACTCGCGAAATTCAAAGTGGGTCAAAATGAAAAAATATGACCTAAATATTTTGTATACTTCTACATTTGTGCCAAATTAGAAAGAAATGGAAGTGTAACGTTTGGGTAGGTTTACTTGTTAGTACAGTGAAAAACATGTAAAAGGAGATTCAAGCAAAGTTATACATTTTGATGGTAGTGTGCGCGTCCAAAATAAGGACCCTGCTAAGACGCACAATTCCCTTACCGCGGCGAAGCATTTCATGGATCCATTGAAAAAACCACCTACGCTCAAAGTGAAATCCTTGGTACCTCTTTGCAGAAGGAACACTATCAATTTCTGCACGTGCAAAGGCGCTTCATACCATGGAACGTTGTACCTGCGAATCAGCGATTAGGCAGCGAACGGAAATAACTTGAGAAAAGTGGAGAAACTGTGAGCCGAACACTTTTGACATATATACATTTCACGAAAGCTGTTAATTTCCGCGTTTGACGTAATTATTTTCCAAGTAGC